GCAGGAGATGAACAAACCGTGTGGGTTCCCTCAAGGTGTGTGCGACCATAGAATGGGAGACTAGAGGGACCCATGGATCCCAACCATGGGTGTGGTTCCCCCAGTACATGCTGAATGTGAAGACGGAATGAACCACTGAGGCTACACATTTTGCAATTGCCTTTCTCAATTAATTCAAAAAACAAAAAGGGAGAGATGTTGCAGGCCGAAAGAGTGAGGGTCGTGATCAACTCAGTATAACACTGGAGGATATATGAGCAAACAGCAGACTGTTCTCGTAAATGCAGAATGTTGGCATACCGACAAACTGTCTGCCACCCGGAAGGAATGCTGAAGATAGTCACGACCCAGGCACAAGTGTTTCTTGTGATGAGGCACATCTGAAGCTTGTTAGCAATAATGTGAACCTGTGATCAGTTAAGCAGCTGACCAATCATTTCCTCCTCCTCCCTGCTCTTTCTACCCAATAAATACAAAAGGCTGTAGAAGCTCAAGGCTGCTGCTTTTGGTCACTAGAAGCAGGGAGCCCTCTTCTTTTTCCCCTGGCCCCTTCCTTTAAAACAGTTTCTTTTGTTTTAAGTTTTCATTTCTGCATTCATCTTCCTTCAGTCTCCTGATGATGGTCTCAAGTAGTAACAGTAGTAACTGTAGGAGTGAGGGTCTCAAGCTCTCAAGTAGTAACAGTAGTAACTATGGCAGTCTGCCACATAGGGAAATGAAAAAAATAGTAAAACTAGACCAGTTTTACTGGGGAGATGTTGGTCAAAGAGTACAAAGTTTCATTTAGACAGGAGGAATAAGTTCTGATGATCTATTGCACAGCACGATGGCTATAGTTTGTAATGCATTGTGTATTTCAAAATAGTGAAAATAGTGGATTTTGAATGTTCTTACCTCAAAGAAATGGTAAGTATAAGAGGTGATGAATACATTAGCCTGATTTCATTATTCCACAATATGTTTATGTATCAAAATATCATGTTTTACCCCATTACTGTATACAGTTATTTGTCAATTAAAAATAAAAATTTTAAAAACTCAGTATTGAAAATTAAACTATTATTTTCATGTGAAAAGTATGTTGAGTCATTTGATTAGTGCTTGCCTTCTCATTGTATACCTTATGATATGGAGCAAGCATTTTTCCTATATGTTGTTAAATTGTCATACTCCTTTCTACGTTTGCATCAGCTTCCAACGTTTTATCTTTTATACTTTCAATGTCATGAAATATTTACAAAAGTTTCTTTCTTTTTTTTTTTTGAGACAGAGTCTTGCTCTTGTCACCAGGCTGGGGTGCAATGGTACAATCTCAGCTCACTGCAACCTCTGCCTGCCTCCCGGGTTCAAGCAGTTCTCCTGCCTCAGCCTCCCGAGTAGCTGGGATTAACAGGCACCTGCCACCATGCCTGGCTAATGTTTGTATTTTCAGTGGAGACAGGGTTTTGCCATGTTGGTCAGGCTGGTCTCAAACTCCTGACCTTGTGATCTGCCCACCTCAGCCTCCCAAAGTGCTGGCATTACAGAAGTGAGCCACTACGCCCGGCCCCAAAAGTTTCTTTAATGTGAAATTTTTTGTGGGTGTCACTTCCTTTGGGATATCTTCGTCTTCTTTGTCACGTGTACTTTCCTCATTAAGTTTGCCTTCAGTAAGATCTTCTGGCTTTCTGTAGTTTCTAGAATGGTGGCAGTGTCATGCATTCCCCTTTTATAATTCCCCTGATATGCAATTCTAATTTTGCTTCCAGTGTTACAGATTTTCATTTCTTGGTCTCACTTTTCATGTTGTTGACCAGTCCCTCCTAAGATCATGTGTTTTTGTAAAATGTCACTTGGGTTTCTTGTTGAAAACCCAGGAGGTGACACAGCTATATTCTTTGCTGTCTGAGCTCTTCTGAACTGAAGAAGAGATGCACAGTGGCCATTCACTGATAGACGTTGGAAGAAATGACATGATTAATCACTGATCTTGATGTTCATCTGTTATTTATGATTTGTGGGTTGAAAAGCTAGCAGTGGAGTTTGCATTTTATGCAGTTACAGTTAATATACCATGGTTATTGAAATTTGAACCATGTTGTTGAGAGACTGGTGTCTTTAAGCTAAGCTAACTGAAATCAGAGCATAGTAGAGCAGAGCAAAGGAAGGACTGTCTCTACTTCCATTTCACCCTTCTTGGCCATTGTGCTATTATTCTTAAGGAGAAAGAGGGAACCATTTTATTTCTACATATGTTATAAATCCTATAATACGTTGTTATTATTTTTGCTTTGAACTATCACTACCTTTTAAAGAGATCTGAATAGAAAGAAGAAAATCTTTATATTTTCTCACGTAATTACTATTTCTGCAACATAGACCTCATCTCTACAAAAAAAAAAAAAAAAAAAAAAGTGGCCAGGTATGGTGGTTTATGTCTGTGGTCCCAGCCACTTGGGAGGCTGGGGTAGGAGGATCAGTGGAGCCCAGAAGGTCAAGGCTGCAGTGTGCCAAGATCACCACTGCACTCCAGCCTAGGCAACAGAGTAAGACCTTGTCTCAAAAACAAACACACAAATGAATTGTTTTTAGTTCTCTTTCTTCTTCTGTATATTTTTAGATTTTTATTTGGCATCATTTTCCTTCTACTTGAAGGACTTCCTTTCATCTTTTTTGTAGTGCAGAACACCTTGATGAATTCTTCCAGCTTTCATATGGGTGAAAAAGTCTTTATTTTGCCATCATTTTTGAGAGATAGTTTCACTGGGTCAAGATTTCTAAGTTCACCATCTTTGTGATTGCTTTCGGTACTGTAAAGATGTTTCACTGTCTTCTGGCTTGCATTGTTTCTGAAAGAAGTCTTTATCTTTCTTGTTCTATATTTAATGTGTTGTTTTTCTCTGGGTGCTTTTAAGATTTTTCTCTTCATCACTGGTCTATTTAATTATATCATCAGTGTCATTTCTGGTTCTGGTTTTTTTTTTTGTTTTTTGTTTTTTGTTTTCATACAGGGTCTTGCTCTGTTGCCAAGGCTGGAGGGCAGTGGGGTGATCTCAGCTCACTGCAACCTCTGCCTCCCAGGTTCAAGAAATTCTCCTGCCTCAGACTCCTGAGTAGCTGGGATTACAGGCGCACGCCACCACGCCTGGCTACTTTTTGTATTTTTCAGTAGAGACAGGGTTTCACCATGTTGGTCAGGCTGTTCTCAAACTCCTGACCTCATGATCGGCCCGTCTCAACCTCCCAAGTGCTGGGATTACGATTACAGGTGTGAGTCACTGCGTCCGGCCTGGGTCTGTTTTTATTAATTGACTTTTCTCCTCATTATGTGCTGTTATTTTCCTGTTCCTTGGGCATGCCTGATAGTTTTTTTGTTGGATGCCAGATACTAAATTGACCTTGGTGGATGTTGGCTATTTTTATATTCTTATAAATATTCTTTTTTTTTTTTT